ATTAACCTTGGGATCCACTTAACTGCAATGTTTGATCTGATTCCTTTTTGTTATTGTTGTTGTTAGTAAAGTCTGGGCCTAAAAGCAATTGTGAGCAGTTCGTGAGCAATAAAAACTCACAGATCTGCACTCAAAGTGTAACTTGAAGAGAGCTTATTACGCCTGCACTGCTCCCATCCTTTCCAATCACTGAATGTGTGTGAACATTTTTCTGTTTACAAACATGCTATTCAATGTCAGTCAGACTCAATAACATACAAAGGGCTGTTCTAAGAGTACCAAATCATCTAGCCAATTTTGGTCACCATATCACAAAAAAGATGTTGAGAGTTTGGAAAAAAATCAGAGAAGAGCAACTAAGATGATCCAAGGCCTGGAGACTAAAACATACAAAGAACAGCTGTAGGACTTGGGTTTGGCTAGTCTAAAGAAAAGAAGAAATAGGGGAGACATGATAGCAGTATTCCAGTATTGAAGGGGTTGCCACAAAGAAGAGGGGCTCACATTATTCTCCAAAGCACCAGAGGGCGGGACAAAAAACAATGGTTGGAAACTGATTAAAGAGGGAAGCAATTAAAGAGAAACTTCCTGACTCTGAGGACAATTAACCAGTGGAACAGCTTGCCTCCAGAAATTGTGGGCACTCCAACACTGGAGGTTTTTAAGAAGAGGCTAGACAGTCACCTGTCTGAGATGGTATAGATTCTCTTGCTTGAGCAAGGGGCTGGACTAGAAGACCTCCAAGTCCCTTCCAGTTCTGTTCTATTCTTAAGCAATCTAACTGACTAATTATTCTCAATTCTCAATTCAATTTAACTGTTATTTGGTAACCTTAATTTTCTAACACCCATGAGCAGAACTGCATTTGGTCCTTGACTTACAACCACAACTGAAGCCAGAATTTATGTTGCTAAGTGAGAAATATGTTAAGTGAATTTTGCCCCATTTTTATGACTTTTCTTGTCACATTTGTTAAGTAAATCACTGCAGTTGTTAAGTTAGTAACAGGGTTGTTAAGTGAATCTGGCTTCCCCATTGACTTTGCTTGTCAGAAGGTTGCAAAAGATGGTCATGTGATTCTGGGACCCTGCAGCCGTCATAAATATGAACCAATTGTCAAGCATCTAAACATAAATCATGTGACCATGAGGAGGCTGTGACTGTCATAAGTGTGAAAAATCATTTTTTTTCAATGCCGTTGAAACTTTGAACAGTCACTAAATAAACTGTTGTAAGTTGAGGACTACCTGTATTTAGTCTGTAAAATTTTGGAAATAATAGAGGGCATTTTGGACTTTGCAGTATAACTGGTTCTTATTTAGATATCCATTCCATCTTCCAGAATATTCTATTACATTTTCCTTCCTCAGGTTTTCCATTTCACATTCTTCTTTTCTGCTATTGTTAGTAGCACTCTGTGGCCCTCAGAATGGCCTGACAACTTGGGATTGTTTATTTTAAGTGTGTTTGCACCATGAGGGTGGTTTTCTTTCTTAAAAAATAAATAAAGATTAGCTAGACAAACCCTGATTTCTGTCTTTCTCTCATGTATAGATTGTACTTTTTGTCTAGAGAAAAAACTAGCTATAAGAAAATTACAATGCATACACATAAGCAGAACAGCCAGAGCCAAATGATTTTTACATTGTAACATTTGGGAGAAATAAAATTAGGCAAAACCTATCCTCTTTTTGATACTGTCCATTTTTTTCCATGAAAACATTCAAAGCAAGAGTGGCAAAAAAAAAAAAAAAATACAATTGAAAGATAGGAGAAAGGTTGGGAATATATGTCTTCCCACATTTGGCTATCACCCCAAATCATCTTTTGTGTAATTAAACAACAATGACAAAAAGGCACTGATTGTGGGTGAAGAAAAGCAAAGCAGACAAAAGGAAAGGCACAGGGAAAATGTCAGCTGCAAGGCTCTCATTTTGGAAACCTACAATGTAGTGATTGATAGGCCTACTATTTTTCAAGCTCTGTCACAGCTGAAGTATAAAGCTGTCAGTGCACATGATAATGATGGATGTGCTAAAACATGCAAATAGCATGAAAAATCATTTCTCACATAATTTTGGAAGATGAGAAGAGTTCTGAACTGGGGGGGGGGGAAGGGGAAGAGAGGTCATGCTTAACAGTCAGCCAAGTGGAATAGGAAGCTGCCTGGCTGCCTCAGGCACCCTTAATTGCTAGGCAAGTTAAACAATGAATTATATGGGCATTCTGCAAATTTTCCCACAGAACTGTTACATGGCCCACTTGGGAATGGGAAGAGATATTGGTGGGGTTTGGGAGGAGAGGGTTATTAGTTTACAAAGCAAGTGAGCAGGTTCTGAATTCTAGCAAGCCCTCCAAAAAATCCAAATGACCACAAACAGTGTCTCTTGCTAAATGATATTGTTTTAAAATGTTCAGCGTATTTCAGAGGATACATTTATATTTTTATTATTGGTAATTGGCTAGCTTTATTAATATACATCCAGTAAAATCCAATGGAAGCATTAATATCACAATGCTAAGCAGATGTCATTCTTATATCAAAGTATTGTCACCTAAATAGATCTTGTTAACCACCCCTACTCCCCCCCCAATCAGAAAATAAGCAGGTATAAATACACTTTGTGTGTCTTATGTTCCTGTTACTCTTTTCATGTCTTTGTTTCTGTTTACTTTACTTCAGAGCTTTAACGTTTTGTTTCTCTTATCCTGCAAGGCATTAGGTAACTAATACAAGATATTTATATGAATACTTTAATGAATAGATGACATGATTCTAGCACTTTTCTTAAAACTGCTAGCTTCCAGGCCTTTAATCTTCTTCCTTTCCCGAAAGATTGTAATAAGCAAGTGATGATTGATCATAGATCAGTGATGGAACACACACTGACCAATTGGCAATCTCTTCTTAAATGCATTCTGGATAGCTAGAGAGCTGGGGAAAGTTAGTGGACAGCACTGATCACTATGGGCAGTCTGATCAGGTATATAAGGCAGCACTGTGGGGTCAACTAATCCCAATTCTTACTTCATTGAAAATATTGTGCCTATTATTTCAAACTGGTATTGGCTTGATTTTTTAAAAAAGGCTTGATTCTTGAGAGTTTTCTAAAGGAAGTCTGGAGAATGAGTTTGAAGAGGGTTTCTTCTGGTTCAAGAAAAAAAGAATTAGTGGAGTCTGTAAACAAGATTCAATCACTTAGGGTGATTGAATGAAACATAACAGTTTTTTAACCTTAATGAGTCAGTTGAAATCCTTCAACAATTTTCTGAAGAATTTAGATTTCATAAAAATTTCCAATGAGGGCAATGACTTTTGGTATAGCTACATTTCCTAAAAATCTGCCTAATTTAGGCTAAGAAGAAAACACTCAAAATTCTTGGTGTATGTAGAAATAAGTAAAATAGGACTACAAGATCTGTGCTACAAAAATCCAGACAACACTAGATGACAGTAAAAAGTTAGACTGTTTAATATTTTTGTTAGATTGTTTAAATTTTTGCAGCCCAGATTTGACAGACTTAGATAAAACTCAGGTAAAGGTACTTAGGTAAAGGTAATGTTTTCTTGCTTAAGAGACTTAAAAGGGCCATTAGACAGATGTTCCCCCTAATATGTGCCCTAAGTAAGAGACTTAAAAGGGCCATTAGACAGATGTTCCCCCTAATATGTGCCCTAAGTGTAACATGTTCCTCCTAACATGTATTCTAAGTAAACTATAAAAGTGGCCCTATTTGTAGACCTGCAAAAATCTTGTTTAAACATAAAAGATCTGTGCTAACAAAACACTGATTCTGTTCTTGTTCTATCACTTCTAAGCCTTTTGACTGATATACCGCCTAATAATTGATTAAACATGTATGTACTGTACATCACTCAATGATTAGATGACTGTGTTTGATTTCTCCACAGCTGATGACATTCCACAAAGTATGTTAACTTTCGCTATTGAAAAAGATTTCATTCATCTGTGACAGCTTAATCAAATCTTCTCATCATCTCTCTTAGTTGAAGTCAATGAAAGATAATCATGCATATCCGAATAAGCCTTTTAAGGAGAGCCAATCAAAACCTGTAGTGAAATACATTTCTTTAAAGCACACAAACACACACACACACACACACACAATCAAAATATATACTCATTCCTACATACACATAAACACGATAGCTAAAATTAAGCAGACACTTAAACCTTAGATTATATAACTCCCATCATTCTCAGCTACCAGTATCATGACCATTGGCTATACTTCCTGAGGATGAAAGCAATGTTAGCTAGGAATTATTCAATTTGGCTGCACTGGCTGATTAAAATGGCTGTGGGTCAGTAAATGTCAACTTATCTAAGAAGTTGACTTAAAAAATTTATGCTTACTTCTTAGAGCAAAATAGATTAATAGATAGATGAAATTTAACAATTTCTTCAACAAAAAATAGACTATGTCCTCATAGATAATTGTTCAGAGAGATATTTCCCACCTCTTCCTTTCTGTAAAAATGAATTGCTACCATTTACATGCAGATCCTAACTTTCAGATTGTCCTTACCCTAGCAACACTACTGCCATTGTACAAACATGTTTACTTAGATAAATCTAATTTACCACTTGTTAATGTGTGCTGCTTTTATTTGCAATATTATATTAAAGTGGAAATAGAATTATGCTCCCCCTCCTCCCCATTATGTTGCCTAAACTCAATTCATATCCTATTGCCAAGGGAATGCATTTATTAATTTCTCTTTTAGTTTATAACCAGTCGACTAACATGACCTTTACCTAAACAAGTCTATAATTGCAATTAAGTTATACAACAACAGCAAAACTACTTTTAAGAAATGCTACCAGACATGAACTTCTTGTAGCTATTAAATGGATTATTCATCTTGTGGAAAAAAATATATTCTTACTCATTTTAACATCAACTGTAATATTCTCAGTTGACACATTAAAACTGCACCAATTAATCTCAATAGGAAAGCATAAAGTCTTACCCACCTATTCTCTGAAGTTTGGATATTGCTTCTGTGTACAATAAAAATTGTATATTCATGAACTCCATTTGTTTTATGTCCTCTCTCCCAACGTCTCCCAAGTAGCATATGCTTTGCTCTGTGGAGAATACAATCAAATTTGTCTGTCTTGTCATATTGTCATCAAAGTGATAGTATCACAATTAAATTAACATTTTCTGAAGAACTGAAAGGAAGGGAAAGAGGGATGAAAAAAAACAACTCGATTTTAGTGCTTTACTGAGACTTCTCTCCTTCTCCTCCCTCATCTTTTTATTTCCAATTCCCTTAAACAAAGGGGCATCAAACTAACTAGCAACTTAATTGGAAAAATGCCAATATTGAACTACAGTGGTTTGTGTTGATATCAGCTAGGTTATATTTTAGTTCTCTAAGAGACATTGTTACTGAAAGACTTCTTAAGATTTAAGACTTTCAGAATAAGGGTACTTTGAAAGCTCTTGTGATTCCTTGAGTTAGTAATTGCCAGATTGTAATGCACCTGTGAAATCACATTAGATTTGATGAGGAGTTCCAGAAATACATTGCCATGTTTTCTAGTTAGGACTAACATATTGAGTAGGTGACATTTCACTCATTATTTAAGTCTATGAAGCCTACTTAACGTCTGACATGTTGATTTCTGTTTAAGTACTCCTTTAGGACAACAATAAAGGAACCAGCATTCAAGAAATAAGCTGCACACTAGCACTTGGCTGAGAAGAAATGAAAGTCTTGGAGAATATATTCAGATGCCAGGATATGACTTACACCTGCAACATTGGGTAGGCAATTATTTTCCCTGTGACATTTTATGGAAATGAAAGTTAGACTGTAAGGAACAAGGAAAGAGAGAATGTTTATGCTTTAGAACTTGGGATAGCCTGAGAATACCATGGCTAGCCAAGAAAACAAATTAATTATCAAACAAATTAACTTAAGATTTCTCACTCAAGGCACAAATGACCAGGCTCAAATTATTATACATCAGACAAATTAAATGAAAACTAGCTCTTCAGATATGTCTACAATGCTGGTGGGAAAAGTGGAAGAAAAGAGAAGAGGACCACCAGCAACAAGTGGATGGACTCAAGCCTGAAGGACCAGATTGGTGACAGATATACTGTATGATCACTAAGAATTGGTAAGGTTTTGACGGCACATACAGTAAAGCAATCAGTCAATCCATTCTCTAGGAATTTAGAAAATTTCTTCTAAATTTCAGTTTCCTCTGTGGAGGTTTACTATTTATGGAATCTATCCCCAGAAAAGCTTATCTTAGCATCATCCTTGCACCTGGTGAAAGTTGTTCTGTTTCCCAGGCTTTTAAATTGTTTTTCAATTTGTATTGTTTTAGATTTTGAATGGCGACATTGCTGCTTCCTAGTTTATGCTGTTTCATTTCACATTCGATTTGATCGTAAATGCTTGTATTCAAATTGTAATTCTTTAATGTGATTATTATAATTTTTCCAAACAGTTTCAGTTATGGGCAGTTTGATTCTTTTTAATAAATAAGTAAATATGGGTAAACTGCAATTTTTAACAAAATAAATATTATAGTTTACTATAATGTATGTTGACAAGTAATACTGGCAACCTATGACTGAATGTGGTCTGCATAATTCATTTTGCAACATACAGAATATTCTTCAAGTGCCACAATTTAGAATATACTCTTTGTTAACATCAAGAATGGTTGGAGAAAAGCAACTCCCTGTCCCTGGTTTACCCTTTACATTATAGATCAGCTTTCCTCAAAGTTTTTAAGCAGGATCCCTTGAAATAATTTTCAGATCCCTGGTAACCCCTGAATAAAAATAAAACAATACAAAAATTTGCAATAGAATTCATTCCCAGCCTACAGAAACCATTTGCAACAACAGCAATGTAACTGCCCAGCATTGAGTCATGAAGCCATCATGGTTTGCACAACTATTGTGTAACATGCAAATCATGATTTCTCACAGAACCATTTGTAATCAACCCCATTTGAGAAATGCTGATATAGACTGAGAATTTCTAGCTAAACATATTTTCTTCTATTCCAAGCATGAGATCAAAAACTTTGTCATGTTCATGAGCTTATTCATTTACTTTTTATTTATCAGTATATGTGGTCTGATTAGGTTAAGGCAACCGAAAAACAGAATAAATATGAACATACATTGTAATGAAAATATGCAGGGGTTTTTTTCTGACTACTTTATCAACGCATGTGCGCAATTACATATAAGCACCTATTGAGAGCCCGTATGTTAAAACTGTACATGCAGTATGGATAATGGGAGATTTCAATCATCCTGACATCTGCTGAAAATCTCACTCTGCCAAGTCAGAGTCGAACAATTTCTTGTTCTTTCTCACTGATCATTTCATTTGTGACAAGATGGAAAAAGGAACAAGGGGGCCTACCATCCTGAACCAATCTTTACCAACACAGAAAAACTGATTGAGAAAAAGGGAAGGAGAATGGCAGCACTGGAGAGTTATCCAGTTTATCCTTAGAATTTGTGATAACCAGAGTTGAGACAGATCTATATATTGGATGGATTCAACAAGCATTCAACATTCAGAAGAATGGATTTTGATGTACTCCAAAGAAAGGTCTTGTTATTAACTAGCACAGTGGTTCTCAACCTTTTCTTCACCAAGGATCCCCTTTAAATACCTTTCCTCAAACCTTTGTGGACCTCCAGTGATGACATCGTGCCCCCCCCAGGAGTCTGTGAACCACAAGTTGAGAACCACTGGCCTAGCAGTTCCACAGCCAATGAATAGAGAAAATCAACAAGTAAAAAGAAAAAAAAACCAATTTTCACAACAATAATTTGACTTGCCTTGTAGAAGCAGATATCAATACTGGAACAGATACAGTAAAAGTCTTCCTCAGAAGGAAGAAAGTAGCTAGAGATTGCTCAAGTAAGGATCTGCTTAGATCTAACCACTGAGGCTAGAAGACTTACTAAGGCTGAGAAAGCAGAAGGAGAAATTTCAAACTGCTGCCATAAGATACATTAGAGTACTTCCTTGGTTAAATATTTTATTCTGGTGGCTATGTTAAATTATTGGCTTGGACTGCTGAGGTTCCAAAGAATATGTTTTATTATTTATTTATTTGTTTGTTGTTAAATTTATTTGCCATCTATCTCACCATGGAGCTATTATACACAGCTTAAAATAATAAAAAGGAAGAAAAATGAAAAGAGTGTAAACAGAACAAAAGTAAAATAATAGAACAATAAAATAAACAATGACAAAGGAAGACAACAAGAATAAATACATTAATATGGTAACCAAAAAGATGGATGGGTGGACAGCAGAGAGCAAAGGATGGGTGTGTAGAGTTTGCCATCAAGGGTGGAACTTCCTCATTGGGTCCCCCAATTATCAATCTCAGTTACTGAGGGTTCAAGTACTTGGGTAGAATAAGCTTCAACAGGTCCTCTACACCCCTGAGAGTCCAGTGTTTGCCTTCTGTTCTTGCTATTCAGCTCCACATCTCTCTGTCTACAACCCGGGTGTCAAACTCACCGTGTCACATGACATGTTGTGACATATCGTGACTTTTTTTGCATTGCCGGAGCTGGGTGGGCACGGTCTTCACATGATGCAACTGGCTCACAGGCTGGCAGTTTGACACCCCTGGTCTACAAAAATCTCTGGTACAGGATCTGAGAAATAGAAGAACAAAAAGTGTGTAGGTCCATTGCAGGAAGAAAGAGGTATATTGGTAATGAGTGATGTTCAAAAGGCAGAACTTCTAAATACTTATTTTGTGTCTTTTTTCTGTCAGAAGAGAAATTAAACCCAAATGATCATTTTTATGCCTTTGAGTGAGTAAGGTTATCCAGTTTAGGATACAGAAGGGGGGGGGGTTAAGAGGAAGCTTAGCAAATAAAAAAAACAACTTTGCTCACCAAGACCAAACTGATTACAACATAGAGTACCAAAGCAACTAGTGGAGGCTGATTACAGAAGAACTCTTATAAGAAACCCCCGGAGGATTGGTGTCAGAATTCTGAAGGACTAAAATGTCTTTCCATCTTTAAAAAGGAGAAGGAAGACAGACTTGGGATTCTACAGACTTGTTTGCTTAGTGTCTGTTCAGCAAGTTTAACAAATTATAAAGCAGTGTGTTTCTGACCATTTGAAGAGGCTTGTTACAATTAACAAGAATTTTTGTAGAATTTTTTTTTCCAAACATATATCAGAGTTTCCTTATCTCCTTCTTTGATAGAGTTTCTAGCTTATGAATTGAAATCAATTGAACAAGGGGATGTCATACGCATAATGTACCTGGACCTGAGCAAAACTTTTGACAGACTGTCCTATAATATTCTCTTTTATAAAATAATAAAATATGCGCTAGAGGATACTATTCTTAAGTGAACTCACAGCTGACTAAATGATCTTACCAAAGATCATTTACTGCTCAACTTCAGCTTGAAGGACAGTATTAAGCAGAGTATCACAGAGCTATGTTTTGGGTCCTATACTTTTCCACTCTTATCAGTAACTTGGAGGAGGGAGTGGAAGGTACTTTGCAGAGGACATTAAGCTGGGAGGGGTGACTGATACTTTGGAAGAAAAAATACGTTTTTAAATGTTCTAGATAGACCTGAGAGTGGGCTGAAAAAAGGGTGGAATTTTAAAGCAGAGAAACTGTTTAAATCAGCACGAAATCAACAGTCTGGCCTCTAATTGTTTAGCGCCATGCTTTTCTGTGTAATGCAACAACCTGACCCATTATTCAAAGTCAAAATTTTAAACCGTCCATTGAAGAATTGTGTTGGTGTGTCTGTGGAGATTCTCAGTCATCCAAATCATAGTTGTCTCAAAGGTGCTTTTTTCTTCAAAAGGCAACTGGACTGTTTTTTTTCTTTGAGGAGGAAGAAGAAAATGATTTGCTTCTAATCCAAGAAGCTTCATCAGTTCTGGCAGGGGTGGATGGGTGGATGGATAGGTACTGATAGGATGGGGGGGGGGGAATGAAAACATTGTATTTCTTTGCAGTCATCTGGTCTTTCTCTGAGTGTTTGTGGTTCTTTTCTTTTTTTCAAAGAAGCATGGTATCTGGGAGAAAAGGCAAATCAAACAAAAAGACACAAGCTGGAATGCTATTTTTTTTTTAAAAAAAAACAACATAGACCTGGGGGGGGGAGTCAGATTTATTTTGCATGATCAGAAAATGCGTACCATATAACCTACGGTCTCAACCTAAGGATGTTAGCACTTCTATAGGGCAATCTTAACACAAGGACAAACTGTACTTGAGCATTTTTTATGTTATATTAGAGACAAACAAGTTTTCTCACAAATATAGGCATGTCAGCTTAAACTTCTTTTAGTTTCTCCTGAACCAATATATTTATTGTGACCAGTTTAAATAAATTTTACTCTCCAACAAGACAAAAATCTCTATGTTCTTTTTCTCATTGCCCTTGGGTTGTTAATTTATTATAAAAAATAGTCTTTTCTTTTGAAAAGAACACTTTCAGAATCTACTACTGAAAAAAAAAAATCAAGATCCTTTTAATTGTAATTGTAAACAGATTAATTGATTTGTTTAATTGCAAATAGGTGGATGGATATATGGATATATGCAATAGCCCTTTTGATTAAGTATGTGTAGAAGAACATACTTAAATAGTACTTATAAATATTTTTAATGAATTGCTCCCATGAAACAAAATTGTATCATAACTAAAGCAATAGCAAGGAAACCATATTCTGTGGGCCACCCCTTTTTGGAGGTTTGGATATCTTGTTAAATAGGAAATGGAATTTGGAGACAGTGCAATCATATTTGGGTTGTTATCCCTCCTTCCCCATAGTGAGATTTATGATAACAAATAAGATTGCCATAATAACATTAAATGTGTCTTTGCCTCCCAGAAATGCTAAATCTCAAATTCAGGATCTCTAGACTACACTCAAAAACATAACTGATGTTTAAGGGGATAAATTCCCAATAGATACTATTACATTACTGGGTGATTTTAATGCAAGAATAGGGGGTGATAAGACCAAAATAGCAAAATGATTGAAAGTTGATATTGATTAACTCTACCTTACTTTTTTGTATACTTTGAAGGACTCCAAAGTAAACCTGGAAGGGCTTAAACTTCTAAATCTACTTTAAAAATGAAATGTTCAAATTTTGAATGACTCTCATCCCAGAGATTCTCCCAATAATTATATATACTTATCAGCAATGGAACAACAGTATTTGACTATTGTATGTATGTATTCCCTCTGCCAAAATAGGAACATTTCAAAATATGAAATTATCCTACAAGGCTGTATGATCAGCACCTATCACATTCTAATATACCAGCTTGGAAGAAAGTAGGATGCTGAAAATACATAACAATCTAAACACCTGCATTAAAACATTCAGGACAAAAAAGAATTAAATTGTCTGTTAATTTAGCTGATAAAATCACTGCAAACTTTGCTCAAGCCAACTGGCAGATATTCAGCTTAAATTGATTAATGCTGAGGCAGCTTCTTCAGTTATTCTGAGCTACTACCAACAAATACTTGAATAATTAAAACCAGGATTAAGTCAGGACAACAGTAAATTAAGTTCATTCTACAACATAGCCACAGGTTCAGTGTTGAATGTAGGGTAGCACATTGTATGATTAGGAATTTGGAAAGGAGAGTAAAAGGTAGTTGCTCCCCTTGGGTAGTCATGGAACTGTTGAGGAAGAAAAGGGAATATAAACACTGTATCTAATATCTCTTTGGCACTTACTCCTGACTGCCACAGATTCTAAAGACGTAACATTATACTAGAAACTGGTAAATGCCATTTGGCATGAAGATAAGAACATTGGATTAGCTTGACCCTTTCAATCAGAATTCAGGCTTGGATATGGGACAGAAACAGCATTGGTCACATACATGTACAATCTCTGGCAGGACCAAGATGGACATGGTGTATCCATCCTTGCTCTTCTTGACCTTACAGCCTAGCTTTCAATGCCATGGTGACTGACTTTTGGGTCAACTTAGGGAGTTTGGGATGTGTGGCACACTTCTGTGCTGGTTCACCTCCTTCCTCCAAGGTCAGTTGCAATCAATATTGAAAGAGAACTAAAGGTCCAGCTCTTGGTCCCTGTTTTATGCTTTCTCTACTCCTTTTTAACATCTACATGAAACTGCTGGGCAAGATCATCCATCACTATGGAATGAGGGATCACCAGTATGCTGATGATACTCAGTTATACATGTCCATCCTGGATGAAATAAGTGATGCTGTGGATGTTCTTTTATGGTGCTTGGAGATTATGGGGGCCTCAATGCAAACAATAGACTTCAACTGAACCCTGTTAAGATAGAGTTGCTTGGGGGGAGTGTTGTCTACATGCAGGATTTTATCTTCTTTGGTCTTGGATAGTATTGCACTATCCCAGGCAGATCTGGTGCCTAATCTGATGGTCCTCTTAAACTCATGACTCCTGCTTGAAGTGGCAGTTGTGGCTAAGAGAGCTTTCACTCAAGATTTTATTGTGCACTAGTTATGCCCTTTCCTGGATAGGAAGCTCTCTGCTAAGGCATTTATGTCCTGGTCATCTCTCATCTGGACCATTGCTCTATTGGCCTTGTGTAAGGACTTAAAACATGGCTCTGCACCCTTGCTTGAGGCATTGAGATGACCTTTTAATCAATTTTTAACATCCCCTGCCTCTTTTAAATTTTACATACTGTTGTTATGTTTTTGATATTTTATTGTACACTGCCCAGAGTCCCTCTGTGAGGGAGATGGGTGGTTCTTAAATGTGATAGACAGACAGACAGACAGACAGACAGACAGACAGACAGACAGAGTGCTTTTTTTCTAAAAAAAAAAAAAAAGGTGCCGGAATTCCGTTCTAGGTGTTCTATGAGAAAAAAAGCCCTGGATGGATAGATGGATGGATGGATGGATGGATGGATGGATGGATGGATGGATAGACAGACAGACAGACAGACAGACAGACAGACAGACAGACAGACAGACAGACAGATAGATAGATAGATAGATAGATACTGGAGGCTAGATTGTCTGAAGAATTGGAAAACCATTATATTAGATTCTTTGCTCCCTATCCCATTCCTGTTAATTCTCCAATTAAACTAAATTTTGGTAATGCTACATTCTGGCACCCTGTCTCTCTCTTAAACCAAAATGAATGTCTGATCCTGGCATTGCCATGAGGCAAAGTCCCAGGAGAAGACTATATCTCTAGTGATTTATTAAAAGTTAATGGTATTTGATGGAGACCTATTTTGGTTAAACTCGTTGATAAAATTAATTCCTCTAGCCAATTTCCCCAAGGCTGGAATACAAACATAATGGTCCTAATATACAAAAGAGGTGATCATAGCAACTCAGAGAATTGTAGACTGATTAGCCCAATTAACATCACAGCTAAAATTTATGCAAAGCATTTAGCTAATAAATTAGAAGGCTGGGTCATTGATAACAATGTGCTTGCAGAAGAACAGGCAGTATTTATAGCAGGAAACGTAACAATTGTGGATTTTTTTTGTATCATCTAATAAGTACATAAAACATGCCAACAGGAAACTGTTGCTTTTGTGGATTTCCATGAAGCTTTTGATTCTATCAACAGAAACAAGCTATGGTTTAAGTTAGATCAGTTGAATTTGGATAGCTTATTATAGGTTTTCATTGGCTTTATATATTTAATTTAAGATTAGGTTCACCCCAATAGGATACCTAGCAGATAAATCAAGACTTTTAAAGACATAAAGAGGATATATGCTTGCATCTCTACTATTTAATCTATTTATTAATTATAAGGTTTCAGCCCTGAGTGAAGATTTTTTCAGATAAAGGAACTTGTCCATATTATTTATGCAGATTACTTAATACTTATATTCCATTCTTAATTAGGCTTGTGCATTTAGTTAAGAACACTGGACACCTATTGCTCCTAAAAATTATCTAACTATGAAAAGATAAAAGTGATGGTTTGGGGACGAGAAATGCAAAAGGAACAAACGGACAACTGGGGAACATAATATAATCAGTTTTTCCTTACAGATACATGGACATCCTTTTTTACCACTTCAGTAACTGGTATTCTTGTTATTAACCCCCAAAAACAAAACCTGAAAAAGCTTTGGCAGGAATAATAATGTTCTGGTGAACAAGTGATATCTGTCAAACTCCACTAATCCTAACTTTCCATAAAAAATCAAGTTCTTACTTTTTATACGCAGTAGAGCTATGGGTACTTTAACCTATAATGATATAGAATTTTTTCAAAAGATATACCTGTTCCCTTTCTCTATGCAGAAATTGGTACATAATTAAAGGTAACTGAAGGTAGCAGTGAGTCCTGGAGCAAATGAATTTCTCCATGCCTAGAGAACTATAAACTGGCTTATAGTTTTATTCAATCATATGCATATCTTGGTTTGTCTTCAGCATTCTTTTTAAATTTAAATAGTGCAAACAATAATCTACCATTTAAAATCTGAGTCTTCGATGTCTTTTCCCAAAGAAATTAGTTTAAATTATCAGAAAATAAAATTTCCCTTCAGTATGAACTTTATAAAATCAAAATTGCACGTGAACACTATCTGAGGTGTGTTACACTCTATCCCTCCCCAAAGCTCTCTTAAGAACACAGTTCCAGCAAAAGGTGTCAGCAAAGACAGAGTTGATTTTTCATTATCTTACATAATATGCACTTCTGCCCATGTTCCAAGGAAATTATAGAAGACCTTACAAATTATTTATGGTACTGCCCTATTTCCACTTCAGCATGTGGAGGGTTTTGGAGCCATTCTTTATAGGAAAACAAAGTTGGTCTAATTCACATAAAATTGAATATTTAATTGACTTAGACAAGGAAATACCACTATGGAGATTAGCAAGTTTTGCACCAGCTGCTGCTAAATAGAGAGATAATTTTATCAAAAGCTCCTAATGTTTCTCCATTATTTTATCTGATCTAGTAACAGTGTTCCTTAATATTTTTTGCACAGTTTAATGTGTTTCATTAATGTATGGTTACTTTTATGTAGGTTTTATCCTGTTATGTCTGGCAGTCAAAACAATAAACAATTTAATTCATCTCTAAACTTTTCTTGATAGCTCTAAAAATTGAAATTTATATATAATCCATCACCAAAACAATCTGAGCATTCATAATGGCAATCCCTTTGTTACATTTCAGTTATTCTGTTAACCGCCCTGAACATAGTGTTTTTTTCTTGTTACTTTTATATAATTTTTATGGTATCCTCTTCTTGGTAAAGGCAGTCATTCTAACACATACAGATCTTTTTTCCCCAGAGATAACTGTACAAGTTAAGTTCAAGTGGGCCATCATTGATTGCATGTGTTTTGTGTTAAGCTCCTTCACCTGTAATGCACTTTTCACAATAGCTGATAGATTTTTTTTCTCACCTAGCTTTCCTCTGGGAATCCTTAAATGCCAATTCTTAAGAATCCAATTTTATAAGGTCCTCTTCTTCTTGCAGAAGAAACTTCACTTTCTTAAATTAAGCTTTGGAAGCTATTTTTTATAAAACTTCTCAATGCTTGAAAATCTCTCTGGATGGATGGATAGACAGATAGATAGATAGATAGATAGATAGTTGAAAAAGAACCTGTCAAAACAAAGAAATGTGATAGTAGTGCTTTATCCCAGGCAAACAAGCTCCTAGATGTTTTATGTAATACACATTCTAGAGAAATGCAACCTGTAATAAAAGAATAAAAATCATTAATCAGAGCCTAATGGATAAGAGAAAAAATAAATTAATTAACTGCTACAAGCTGTAAGCCATGCAAATTCTATAGAGGAGTTATCAAAAAGCAAGATTTTTAACCCAATGCTCTTCAAATGGACAGTAAGTTGCACAGGAACCTCCATAACATCTATTATGGAGTCAGTATTGATTCTGAGGCATAGCAATACAGATACGTCTAATCATGCATGCAATTGTTGCATTGTGTTCATTTGTTTTTTGTTTGTTTCTTTTTTTTTTGCCTTTTCATCCTTTAGAGTGGCCATACAGACCTCTAATCTATCCTACATAACATAAATTCTCCAGATGTAGTAATGACTGTAACTAATCCACATCACAGCTTAGATCTTAAAATTCTGTGGTCATTAGCCAAAGCTGGTAACAATCTGTTTCACAGAAGTCTTAAAGTGCTTTTCTTGTATCAAAAAACTTGGGATTGTCCACTATCAAGTCATGATCACAGGGATCAATTGCTGTTTGCAGTAGCTAATCCACAAACTCTTTTTACCTGATAATGCTATCATCTCAACTCTCTTTTTGTAATCAGTAATTTCTTCAAATCAACAGGATCTTCATTTATGTCACAGATATGACATAGCTCCTGAAACCATGCTTAAGTTATAACTAAGACTTATCTATCATGTTTTAAATCCATCCCAAACTCCCATATCTTTGTAAGATCATTGAAATCTAAAAAGAATTGGGGGGGGGGGAATAGCATGAAACCACCATTGAATTACCCATAGTTCCATTTCTAACCCTTTTCTCTCTAGAGTACGGGTGTCAAACTTGATTGTGTCACGTGTCGTATCGTGACATATCATAACATTTTTTGCTTTTGCGAAGCCAGGCTGGGCAGGCTGCACGTGATTCATCTGGTTCGCAGGCCACCAGTTTGACACCCCTGCTCTAGAGAGTTAAAGCAGTGTTTCTCAACCTTGGCAAAATTAAAAGGTCAGCTTCTAACTATCTTCAGTCAAAGAAGTTCACTTGGGCCAGTTATTTTTTCTCAACCCAATCTACCTTCCAGAGAAGTTACCATGGGGAACATTAAGAGAAGAAAATATTATGCAGCATCCCAGAGCTCCTAGATGGAGGATATAAATCTATCAATTAATAAATAGGCACATACACTTGCACCCATAAATGTTAAGTATCATCTGGCACGTTTCATTTACTTGACCTGGCAGAACACTTAAAAGAATGGCTACAGCAGGAGTAGGCAAGCTTGGCTCTTTTATGACTCGTGGACTTCAACTCCTAGAATTCCTGAGCCAACCATGGCTGGCTCAGGAATTCTGGGAGTTGAAGTCCATGAGTCATAAAAGAGCCAAGCTTGCCTACCCCTGGGCTAGAAGATGTAGCAGAGAAAAAATGTTAAGCCCTATGAAAATATAACTTTGTCAAAAGATAAAGGTCCTCTTCCTGTGGCATCCTATAACATATCTCTCAGATACGACCAAAGGATTGTGAAGTGTCTTTGTTATAACACCTCTATCATTTTATCTGAAGCACTTGTATGGCTTCAGATAGCTAAGCTGTACAGTAGTGTGAAATAAGGGAAGCAAGTTTGTTCCTTGAAAAAGGACTGTGGACTGAATTCTCCACTCCAGTTTTTTGTTTTGTTTTGTTTTGTTTTTGTTTTTTGAGAAATAGAAAGACCTTGAACCTTGAAGCAAACTTTGAAGAATATAAGAACATAATGTCTGAATGTCTCACTACCTCATTATCTTATAATAAATTAGGAAAACAGAAAGATGTTGTTTACCCACCTGAAATCCACAAGGAGGGTAAATCCCAGTGCTGTGAGTCTACCTGAAATGTTCAAGGACATGCAATTGACACAATGAGGCTTCAACAGCAAGACAGACAGCTTCAGGCCATGGAACGGCTATATAAAACTGTCTACATCTTCCTAAATTAGAACTGACAACAAGTCCTGGTTTATAATGCTGAGTTCTCAACTTTTGGATTACAAAACTATCTAAAAAAGGAAACACAGCAAGTTAGATTTAAAAAAAAACACTTTGAGGATTAAAAAATATTTACTATTTATCATTTCTAATATTCATTATTGTAGCTCATTGTTCAATAAAGCAAATCCTAGGAGCTGAAATCTTTTATTCTGAACACACACTCATTAAAAATTAATATGCTAGCAACATAGAACATAGAGAAATATCCCTATTCAGGGCTGTTACATTCTTGAACATTTAATCATTCATTATGCCGCTTTGAGAAGGTAGTTGTCTTTTCTACAAGACCAGGAGGCATAGTTACTATATCTTCTTATCTGCTCTGCCACATGCTGGAGTATGACCTTGGACAAGTCATTTGGGTCTAACTCTTTTCAACACATTCATTAATTTTCAAGTGTCAGACATCAGAAGCTTCTTGAGGAGAAAATTTCAGAGTCACCCTATATCCGTGATTCAAATCAATTTCTTGCTGAAAGATCCAGTGGTTAGTGTCTACATTTATGTCATCTTAATTCAAAGTATTAAAAAATAACCACTGTGTAACTAACATTAAAATCACATCAAAATTTAATTATTTATAACTATTATATAGGAATGATTTAGGTAGGCCAAAACAGATTCATCTTTCTCCCTAAATGTTATTCCCTGTTTCCTCCTGCATAGAGAAAACACATAATATCCCACCCCCTGAACTCAACTGCTCTTCAGGATATGTGGGAAGTTAAATCTGGTCCTTGGGCTGGATTGATTTTCCTTTCCTTGCTCTAAAGTTCTGAATTTTTTTCTGTATATATCTGGGTTAGGTTCAGATTGAGAGTTTGGAATTCAAATCACTCCCTTTCCAGATCTCCAAATCACATGCTGGATGAAAGTGATGGGCATTGTGGTGAAACATGTTTATAAATCTCTGCAGGTTTACATAGTCAGGGCACATTATTATATTGACTAGCAGTCAAAGGGATAGTGAAATTGATATGTACATTTTTGCGTTAATTTGCGTGTGGTATTTAGGGCAACACAGTCAACATTTCCATAACTAGAGTCTGCACTTCCCTTCACCCCCCCCCCTTTTTTTTCAATAGCTGGAGATTAAGAATACATACAGCTTGATAGCAGCATGGAATCTGGGCATTGGTGGGATTCAAATATGTGAACAACCAGTTTTCTTCAAAATTCCAGTATCCTAACAATGCTTTATAGCCCTTTTCAAGCAACCAAAAAAGAAATATGCAGACCCTTCCATTAGTTGTCCAGATGCTACCAATCAAAGAATATCAAGGCGAAGGCCCTTTTAAATATCTTTCTCAGCAGTGGGGAGGAGATGAAGAACAGGGAGAGAAATTGACATGGGGTAGAGACTAAAACTGATGCAGGAGTAGGTATAAAGGTTTTCTACATCTGAAGTAATAGAATGGATGTGGTCCCTAAAACAAGGCAACAACACAGTCCTTTGCAAGAAGTTCCTAATAAAATGAAATTGCAAATGGCTGGTGAATGGAGGCAACCTCATTAGAAGATGTCTATGGAGATTCTCAGTCATCCAGGTCATGGTTATCCCAAAGGTGCTTTTTCAAGAAGCAACTGGACTTTCTTTAGAAGATATTGGTCTGTTTATCTATGCCTGAGAATGGACACAGGATTAACACTCAGCAGACGTTCAAAGGTGAATTTGTTTCATTACAACAAGTCATTGACAAACCCTAATTAATATGAACAAGTTGGAGTTAAGTTCTCTAAGGCAATAGCAATTGGTGTTCCCAAAAAGAAGATATATGCTAATTAATGGGTGGCAAGAGATTGCTCTCCTTCTGAGCAGCAAGTGTTAGGAAAGAGACTCTCATGTTCTTATCATTGATCAGCTGGGAGGAAACAGAGAAAACAAGAATCCTGGCAGGATTTGGCTTTCTTATTGACCTCTCTGGTATGGTGTGTTCTATATGGGACACATTGACCTGCTTCTATCTTTATAATGTAACTCTTGAGGTTGACCGTCTCCTCTCTTCTGGATAATCTATGAGCAGCTTCTGAGAGTTTGGTGACCCCCATGCTCATGATTTCAAGAATAACAGTTTTGTCCAATTCTGAAGGTGACAATGGATGCATAGGAGATTGACTAGGAAGAACTAGGTTGTTGACAACTTTTTCTTTTACTGAAATAGAATCAAGCAAAATCTGAGAAGTGAGTAGCTTCCCTCCAGATAAGTGAGATGAATATTATCCAACAAATTAATTTGTATGTAAGGGTCAAAGTCAGGGTCAAAATCAAGGGCAAGAGAAAAAATCTTGCCTTTGAGAGTATACTGCTTCAATTTTGGGTCTTGCTATGGGTTTGAGATAATACAGAGATAATTTCCCCCTCTTGGAACTGCATTGAATATATAAGCTGGGAACTCTCCTTTTAAGTTATTGCCAGTTAAATTCAACTGAAACTGAAGAGATGTCAATGGGGAATCTTGTTTTAAAATCTGGAACCTGCTTATGTCATAAAATTGAGTTCAAGCCACTCAAAGTGAAGTTTTCCAATAGTTCTTTTATTCTTGTGTTATTTGGACAAAAAGCAAGGCAAGTGTGCAATTAAACTTAATTAGTTCCTTTATATTTGTACATATACATGTCTAATTTCAAAGTTATCTTACTACAATACCGTAAATGCCGGCGTATAAGGCGACTTCCGCGAGCGCTGAAATCGGCGCCAAAGACGGGGGTCGTCTTATATGCCGAGTTGTCTTATACGCCGGAAATACTGGTAGTTTCCAGCGTATAAGACGACGTTCTAGGAATGCAGCCCGGCTATAAAGATGGGGGTCGTCTTATACGCCGGGTCGCCTTGTACGCCGGCATTTACAGTA